AGATCCTGCGCGATGCAAGAAGAGAGCGAGCGAGCGGCTGGAGCTTACTTTTCCTTTTGTTCCTTTCCTCTTAGAGTGAATGAGTTCTCCATTTCCTTTCAAACCTGTGCATGGGTGCCTGTCCTTGCTCTAGAGCTGGTCCATGAGGCTTGGTCAGGGCGACCTTTTTTTGTTGCGAGCGGGGAATCAGGAATCAGGTTATTGGTTCGTCGTGGCTTGAGGCGCGATCGGAAAAAACTTGAGGATGAATCAATCACTAGGATGATGACAAGCAGTGCTATGCCTTGGATCATGTGTAGGTAACTATGTATGTAGTCCCCACGAATGAGCCATGTCCAGCTGTGAGCGCGAGTCAGATCGACTCACTCGGGAGTTAAGTACTACATGGACGAAATGTATGGGCATCGTGCCATCTAGTTTTGCTCTATGGGTCGGTTCAAGGTTTCCACAACTATCAATGGACTTGTACGTGTATGTGGACATGCTTAGGTAGAGAGCTAAGGTCAAAGTGGATGTGACTAGCCGAAGTACCGGAAGCTATCGTGGGACTGGTTGCCATTGATCGGGGTGCAGTGAGCCCTCGAGCGTCTGCTCATGATGAAGTCATTGCGATCTTTGGGCCGCGAGCTGATGAGGGTGCTTCTTTAGGACTTGGAATGGTCATAGCTGGCGCAGATCGACCTCTCGGTTGGCTTCGGGTCGACCTTTGCCGGCTCGACATCCTCGGTGGGCATGTGAGACCTTGAGGGTGACTTCTTCGAGTTCTATCTGTGGTTGTCCTTGGCCAGGGGGCTCGTGTGTTCTAGTGCTTGAGCCCTCATGGCGTGACGACATCGATTGCTACTCCCCACAAAGAGCTGGCGTGACCTGTTGCTGCGGAAGTGGGTTCTGAGTGCAACACGGTTTGATTCGCTCACCACGACACGTGGTGCACTCAGGGAGCCCATTTCCTCGGATGCACGTGCCTCTGAGTGACAGCTGACAGTTTGTAGAGACTTGTTGTGCGGCTTGTTCGTCATGCACGGTTGGATCCTGGCTCCGGGCTTGGCCCTATGAAGAGTGGCGCTGGGTAACCATCTAATCACTAACGATAATGACGCGTGGCGGCGGGTGATTTCGTCGTTTGTGCGCGCCCTGACACACTGCACTCCGCTGGTTACGGAGACATTGCTCGGGGCATGGTTCTACCATCAGACCTAGGTTTCCCATGCGGTTGGCCTAGACGGGGTAGGAGCTAGTGATGGACACTGACCCATTGGTGCGGATAACCTCATGGTTTCCCAAAAGGATGTGGCCGATTGAGGCCATTCCCTGGGTGAGTTCGTTATGAGCCATGGGCTTCTAGCTTCATGGATGGAAGACCTGGCCATGGTCGGTGATGAGTGAGGGTACTAGCCCCGCTTCATAGGTGAACTTTGGGATGCTGCCGCAAAGGGCAGTTCTGAGAGTGTATCCACCATGGGCCACGAGACCTAGATCTCCATGCTGGAGGTTTGGGCCGTGGCTGTAGGTGGACGTGGGCGTTGGCCCTTTGATGCCAGTGAACTCATAGTTTTGATGGCGGATGTGGCCGCCGTGGGCCATTCCACGAGCGAATCCACTAATGATGCGAGGAGCCATCGCTTTCTTCTCAACAATCAAGAGTGCGCGACTATCTCCTACCTGGCGCGCCAGCTATCGGTGTTTTGTAAACTAGACTAGTAAATTTATACGATTGCTGCACTGCTCTAGAAAGATGATGGTAGCATCCAAAAGACACGATGATTTATACTTGTTCAGGCTAGAGCCCTATGTCTAGTCTCAGAGATGATCGAGTGCGTGTTCCTCGCTTGAATGCTCTAAAGTTCTTACAATGGGGGTGCAAGAATGGTGGAAGAGGAGGAAGAGCTAGAGCTAGGAGATGGGCTGCCTGAAGGGAAGCTCTAGGAGCCCTACTACGATGAAGAATGAGTAAAATGGTAGAGGATCTCTAGAGAAGGCGCCCTGGCTGCCCATATATAGAGTTCGGGGCTAGGGCACATACAAAGCAGTAGGTTCTCCTGACCAAAGGGTTGTGAGCCTAAGGGAGGGCCTAGCTAACTTGGCTTGCAAGTTACGCCGTCTTGAGGTACATGTCCGGGCGTGGTTGTCGTCATGGTCTTATGGCCACGTCATGACATGGTGTGGCGTGGTGCTCTTTGTGTCTTGGCCGTGGTGGCAAGACTCAGAGGCACGCCGCCTGGTTCTGATTCGCCTGGCAAATCTGACGTGGTCTCCGCTGTGGTCTTCGTCATCGTCTCCGGGTTTCTTGGGACACCGTAGAGGAGTAGGTAGTCGCACCTAGGTCGTCGGCCGCCTTGTTGGCTTGAGGAGCTGGGGGCCACGATCCTAATCGTTGGGGTCGTGGCTTCCGCCGATCCAGATGGCCTCTAAGTCAATGCCTTCATCGTGGATCCCATCCCGTAGTGTGTGGGATTGTACCTGCGTCTTGTCGGACCGTATTTGGATGGTGGGCTCCGTACCGGTCGTCACTGTCGTGTGGTGTTGTCTTGTCTGTGCAGTGTGGCACAGGGATGACGTCTGACCAGACCAAAGTGACTACTGTCCCCTCGGTCCTTGCGGGGTCAGTGCGGCGTGCTTGTTCTTGTTAGAGCAGGCACGCTTCGTCAGGCTCGACCTCCCCATTCCTTCCAGGGGTTGTGATGGGGGAGAGGTCGTGCGCCTTTTGAGCGCCATGCGGCTAAGGCAGGAGGAAGGGGTCGTGACTGACCCCGGCCTTAGCGTCCGGCCTGGTTCGCTTGGCTTAGCTGAGCCTCGGTCGTTTGGGCCTTCGCTAGCTGATATGTTGCGGGCCGCATGGCCTATTAATTAATCGGTGCCTTGAGACAGCCCGGAGTTATAACTCCGACACGGCTTCATACTAATTATAACATGTGTGTATGCCTAAAGCATACTCTGGTCATTAATTTTCTAGTTAAACTAATCAGCCATATGAAATATTAGCGAGCCGATTAATCATTTTACAAATTATGAAAGCTTTACCAAATTACAACCAAATTTGATAACCAAACCGAATTAAGCTTGAATTTAACTAATCCAGCCAAACAAATTGCCTAAGCACACTGTAAAGCACAGGCTATAAAAATGTGTCAAATTTGGTTATCAACACCTCGGAAATTGATATTTTTCAGTTTCACTTTCATCCCTATTCGGTAGTACGTCAATGGTATTATGATATTTTAATGCTACAGATCCAAATCTCCCTTTTTAGTAAAAAATCTATATGGAAGTCACAGTATACTATGAGAATATATTCATCTTCCACTAAAAACATAATTACCATTCAATTAATGTACCCTTGAAAAAGTGTTTAGTTACCATACGCTTGGAATTAATCTGGTAGACTGGACAACAAAGGCTCTATCTCCACAGGAGTCCCAGTTCAGTCGGGGCTAACTTCATCGAACATCTGCAGCCGCAATTTGTTCATTTACAAGCAGTTTGTTCATTTAACGGTACACCTAGTGCATGGACGTCCGGCGCCAGGACGTGTCCGGACGCTCCTCAGAAAATGTCACCCACGTACAGAAATAGTGTCAGCATGCATGCGCGTGTCCCCATCCGCAGCCTATCTCCTCCACACCCCCTCCCGCCACAGCGCTGCCATCTCAAGCGCGCTCCCTCTGCAAGCCCCCCGTCGCGCCCCCTCCTAGGCCACTGCCGCGCCGTGCAGCGTCACGCCCGTTTTGCGCTGCACACGACGCCCGCACCGCTCGAGCGACAAGAGGGGAAGGGTGCGCGGCGTCTCTGATTCGGAAGGACCCAGCCGCGGTGTCGTATGGATGCCCAGCCGGCTCTAGGAGAGACGATGCAGCAGAAGGTGAGGAGGAGAGATGCATACCCGATCTACTTTTAAAATATCCAAATACAACAGTTGCAACATACGTCTGAAGACAGTTGAAACACTTGAAAAAAAACACCTGAAACACACATGAAAACCATTGCAACCATACGCAACATCCAAATAAAACACACATGCAACGTATGTGTGAAACATATGCAACATCCAGATAAACACACTTGCAACATGCGTTTGGAAAACACAGATAAAACATACCTCTGAAACATCTAAAACACTCGAAACATACGCTTACAACATGCCTCTAAAACAATTGCAACATATGCAACTTGTGCAACATCGCCCGATCTAGTTTTGCAACATCCATATGAAACATACATATGCAACATAGGGGGGAGAGAGAGCCTGGCACGGGGAGCGCCATGGCTGCCGGGGTGAGAGAGGGCGTCGCCGAGGGTTGTGACGGTGTCACGCCTGGGTGGGAGAGAGACGCCGACTCCCTACAACACCGCCACACCACCTCCAAAGGATCTCGCTTGTGCTCCATGGAACTCGCCAGTGTGGGGGAGTGGGCCGTCAAATCTGCGAGCATTGGGGGCTCCCAGTGGGAAGGACGCCAAGGTGGGGCAAGGGGCGTCACTAGGGTGGGGGAAGGAGCTGCCAATGTGGGTGAGAGCGCTGCCGCCGGCCAAGGAGACAACCATGGCCACGCGTCGAGGGTAGGGGAGGGCGTGCGTCGGGGTGGGTGAGGGGGCCGCTGCTGGCCATGGAGGGAGCGGGCGGCGCACGCGATGGAGGGGGCGAGGGGAGCGAGTCAATAGATAAGTGAATGATAAGCGCAGTCGAGGTTTTTTTTAATAGAGAGTGGATGAGTGGAGAAGCTGCGTCTGACGGGTTGGACGTCTGGTAAGAGCATTATCGTTCATTTAAAGGCCCAACGATTTCAAGACAAGCATCAACCACTCATTAACATTGCACACTCGACCTTGTCCAAACATCAATGCAACTACAGAACTGCTGATGCTGCCCAGGGACAAGCTCTTGACCAGACCATGCTTAGGTACATCTCCAAATGAGCTATATACAAACTACAAACAAAATATAAAAGTAGAAGATTCAACACCCCATGTCCAAGGAAAAGGACCAGGGGTGCTCAACACTGTCAACCACGAGGGGTGGCCATTTGCTGCTTCTTGATCCTATCCCCAGCCTTCACCATGCTGAGGAAAAGATAAGGAATGAGAAATTACAAAACAGAATTGAGCTCAAAACAACTGTGGTTATACTGATGTTATATTGACAAACCTGATATCATGAGGGGTTATAAATATCCATTGAGACCCTTGTTCAACAACAAATTCTACTAGGGTGCCTAAGCTTATTTTGCGGCTCACCGCATCCTGCCAAATTCATATGGCACCAGTTACCAAGTTTGTTCTGTTATTAAATGGACAAAGATAATGGCAAAGGTCAGATGATTGCTCACCATGAATACATCAAACTCATCCATGGCCCTAAATGGTGCTTTCTGTCATTCCATGAAGAGATAAGGTGAAGCAAAGGGTTGAGAAAGATCGCTCTCCACCTGGAGAGAATGACAGCACAAACAGAAGTTATTAAAGTTATACAATGAGATAACACTAAACAAAAAACACGTATTTCTTTACCAATGTTCTCAAGAATAAACAAAACTTGATTAATTAAATAGACTATTGGAAGCTGCAACTACCTGAAAGTCCTCTGGTGTCTCTAATGGTACCACGAGACACATCTTGAGGCATTGTCAGCTACAGTAAAAAAAAAAGACGTACCCAGTGCAGAGAGCTCCCGCTCTGTGCGGGGTCTGGGGAAGGGTGTCAGTGGCAAACCTTACTCTCGCCTGTGCAATGCGAGGAGACCGCGACTCGAACCCGGGACCTTCCGGTCACAGGCGCAGTAAACACACCATAATCATTTTACTTAGACTGGTTCAAAACCAAACATGTATGCATTTAGATAAAAACATTGGAAAAAGAAAATCTTGTGAAAGTAACTCACCTCAACAGACAGAACTTCGTTCTTATAGTCTACATTGATGTGCCCACTGATACCTTTCTTTCCCAGGTGCTCATTGAACCTTTCATATGTGGAAAGGCAGCAAAGACTCAGGGATAATCATATTCCATAATTGATAGGAAGACCTGGAAGAAAATTTGGTGATGAGCATAGCAAGGAACTTACAGCCACGTTAGCTGACGCTTCAAAAGACCCGTATTTCTCTGGAACTTCTTCCATTGCAAGTCCAATGCCTTTTGACATGCCTACAGAGCAATAAATTAGCTAAAAACATATCCATTTTGAGTGCATTATGAGTGCATTACACATGAACTGGAATATCTAACACCATTATCGTTTTTTTCTCTCAAATTAGCATGAGAGCTGCCAGTCATTTTTTTTGAACGGGAAATACAGCAGGAGAAGCCCCCACTGTAGGATTTTATTAAATAAAAACAGAAACCTGTACAAAAGATAGAGAAATAACAACCAACCAACCGGAGGGCTGAGGTAGCCACGGCGGGAAGAGAACTACAGGCCAAAAACCAGGGAGGCCTATGAGACGATATCTAAACAGAGGAGAAAAGCTACACGTTTATCATCTCTCATACTAAAAGCCTGAAGTTTGGCCTCTTCACAGAAGAGGTTTTACAAAAGAAGTTTGGCCAGTCATTATTATTACTTCAACACGCCTACAAATCAATACCATTGCACAAGTCATGCATATTTGGCTTGCATATTGTATGTATCCACAACTAAAATGAACAGGTGTTATCAAATCACAACCATTACCTGTTGATAGGGAAAATAAATCAAGCAAGCCTTTTAAAACCATGTGCATCTAGAAAGAATGAAGATATCAGGAAAACTGCATGGAACTTACATTTAATTTGTCCCTAAAACCTGTATACATTTGTTGTTTTCTCAGGATCTTCTGTCCCTTTTTGTCATGCAGTGCTCTCAGATCGTCAATGGTTTCAGTATATCTGCACAAATATTTTTTAGGAGAAAGTATCAGAACTCATTGTTTATATATTATGGACATGCACAAACGATTGGTCAGACCTTCTGCTTTCTTGCTGAACTTTCTGCTTTAATTTAGTAATACGAGCACTTAATTGTTCTATGGATCCATCGACACCCCCAAGAGCTTGCACTTCACTCTCGGCACAAATTGTTGAAGCCTTTTCAAAATACTCCTGTGAGAGAATATACAGTCAATACTAGACATTGTGAGTCAAATAAACCCCTCCTTCCAACTGAAATTTGAAGCAAAGTGGTACTTAAATCACAAGGAAAATTTGGTGGCTAGCAGCTCGAAATTCTTAACAGCTTTTCCAAGTGTCTTCCAATATCTGTACTATGCATCTAAACCGAGCACATGACTGTAATATAAATCTCTCTATTTTTCTTTACAAATGCAATATATAGTTGCTGCTTTTAGAACAGTATATTTCATGTACAACTGACCTTCTATGCACTAAATAGATAATATGCAGAATACTAAATCTCTAAGAAAGTTCTGTGTTCAAACACAAGGGTGCTAAATATCAGAATGTATAATATTTTGATGGTGCGACATAACTAAACATAAAAAGGAGGGGGTTTGAACAAAGGACTATTGCCAGTAAAAGAGCAATGACCTGATGAAGCTGTTGAAGACCTGTCAACTCTGATTCTGTTAGAGCTTAGGCTTATGAGGTTATAGTTGTGGCGGGTGGGCGGACGAGGCTTGAAGCGAGGACGACGAACAGGCGGCGCCATGCTCAGCGCCGTCGCTATGAGGGTTTCGCGAGAGAGGAAGAAGAACGTGGTTGCCCAGGGGGCCAATGGGAGATATAATCTTAATCCCTGGCTAACCTTTATTGATCCATAGAGTTTGATACATATATGACTCAACTTAACCAACTATCCCTAGCTTTTAGGACTCTATAATCTCAACTAACCAAACTCTAATGACTCTCAATCCAAACTAACCCAAACTCTGAATATCGCAACCTGTGCGCCCCTGGTGACCACGCCCAGCTTGGCACGCGGTTGAGCCTAGCCACTACGGCGTCTATAGACTCTACCGAACATAACATCACTCCCCCCCTCGGCAAACAGCTTGTCCTCAAGCTGAAAGGTGGGAATTCGGCACGGAAATACTCGAGCGGTTCCCATGTTGCATCCGTTGGCGGAAGACCTGCCCACTTGATGAGCACATGCCAGACCCCGCGACGCAGCTATGCACGCAAGGCTTGATCCGGTTGGAGCAGGCGACGTCCCTGGTGAAGCGGAGGCAGAGCTGGCGGTGTAGACGGTGGAGGACCTCGGAATGGCTTCAACACCCCGACGTGGAATACGTCGTGAATCCTGGCTCCGGCTGGCAGCGACAAGCGGTACGCCACCTCGCCGATGCGTTCGACGATCTGGTATGGCCCGGCGAACCGAGGGCTGAGCTTGCCACGACGCCCGGGCAGCAGTGACTGTGTAGGACGATGAAGGATGCGGAGCCAAACCCAGTCACCCACCTGAAACTCCAAAGCACGATGAGTGCGATCATAGTGGCGCTTGGCATACTCCTGAGCCTGGAGAAGCCTAGCGCGCACATCAGCTAGGAAGTTGTCTCGGTTCTGCAGGAGGGCGTCAATAGCATCTGTGTGGGAGGAACTTGCAGTATAAGGCAGCAAGGCTGGTGGTGGTCGACCATACACAACCTGGAACGGTGATGTGCGGAGGGCTGAATGATAGGACGTGTTGTAGCAATACTCCGCCCAAGGAAGCCACTCAAGCCATGCGCGTGGTCGGTCACCTGTGATGCACCGGAGGTACATAGCTATAGTCTTGTTCACCGCCTCCGACTGACCGTCCATCTACGGATGAAATGTTGTACTGGGTCTAAGCGTGACACCGGCAAGCTTGAAGAGATCTCGCCAAATGTGGCCTATAAACACCGGGTCCCGATCACTGACAATTGAATTGGGGAACCCATGGAGATGAACGATGCCCTCAAAGAACGCCTTGGCCACTGACATAGCTGTGTACGGGTGGCTGAGGGGTATAAAATGAGCATGCTTCAAAAATCTATCCACCACAGTCAGGATGACACTCTTTACATGCACCCGCGGAAGCCCCTCAATGAAGTCAAGAGCTATGTCTGCCCACACATGCGAAGGTACCTCCAGGGGTTGCAAGAGGCCGGCTGGTCGGAGGGAGTCCACCTTGTTATGCTGACATACGGCGCAAGAGCGGACAAAATCACGGACCAGCCCACTGTCATGCTCGATGAAGAACTCAGAAGGGAGGCGCTGCAAAGTCTTCTGGAACCCCTCATGGCCTACTGAATGAGCAAGGTCCAGCACCGTGGGCACAAGCGCCAACCCAGTTGGAACGAACACCCTGTTGCCATAAAGTATAAGCCCGTCGACCACGCGCCACGACGCGCCATGCTGGGTGACACCCGTGTCCCGGAGGGCGCGCAAGTCCGAGTTCTCCTGCACCTCTCTTCGTAGCTCATCAAATAACTCAAACGACGGACCAGAGATAGCATGAGCAGATGCGTCGTCGTTGTGATGGCGGGAGAGAGCATCCGCCACTGTGTTCAAGCTATCTGGGTGAAACTCCACTGTGAAATCATATCCGAAGAGCTTGGTCACCCAGTGATGTTGCGGCGGTGTCGACAAGCGCTGGTCCAGTAGAAACTTGAGTGCATAGTGGTCGGTACACACCACAAAACTGCGCCCCCACAAGTATGGTCGCTAGTGTCGCACGGCCTGCACGAGGCCCATAAGCTCACGCTCATATGCCGCCAATTTCATGTGGCGCTGCGCAAAGGGCCTGCTGAAGAAGGCAATTGCACCGATGCCCTGATGAAGAACAATGCCGAATCCCGACCCCGGCGCATCGCAGTCCACCGTAAAGGGCCGGTCAAACACCGGCAGCTGCAGCACCGGCGCTGTAGACAGTGCCCGTTTGAGGGCATCAAACGCCAAAATAGCCTCATCCGACTAGTTGAACGCGCCGCGCCGAAGAAGCTAGGTCAGGGGCGCCACGATGGCGCCGTAATCCTTGGTAAACCGGTGGTGATAGTCGGCCAAACCGAGGAAACCACGTAGGCCGCGCGCCGAACGCAGTTGCGGCCATGTCGTGACGGCGTCCACCTTGCTGACGTCCATGGCCACACCTTCAGCCGAGATCACATGCCCGAGGTACGCCACTGAGGACTCGACGAACGAGCACTTGCTGCGCTTGAGCCGCAGCTGGTGTGCACGGAGCGCTAAGAGGACCGCCTTTACATGCTGGAGATGCGTTGTCCACGACGGGCTGTAGATCAAGATGTCATCGAAGAAAACCAAGACAAACTTACGCAGGTAGGGCTAGAGGATGGCGTTCATTAGGCTCTAGAACGTTGCCGGCGCATTGGTGAGGCCGAATGGCATGACCAGAAACTCGAAGTGGCCATGGTGTGTTCGAAACGCCGTCTTCTCGATGTCCTCTTGATGCATCCGGACCTGTTGGTAACTGGAATGGAGATCCAGCTTCGTAAAGAACCGTGCGCTGCCAAGTTCGTCGAGCAGCTCCTCCACAACTGGGATGGGGAACTTGTCCTTAACCATGCGCTCGTTCAGAGCCCGGTAGTCAACACAGAAGCGCCAGGACGCATCCGGCTTCTTGACCAACAACACCGGAGCCGAGAACACCGAAGTCGATGGCCGGATAAGCCCCTAATCTAGCATGGCAGCACACTAGGCCTCGAGCTCGTCCTTCTGAAGCTGTGGATATCTGTATGGCCGGACTGCTACGGGTGCTGTGTTTAGCAACAAGTGGATGCGGTGATCACAACGTCGAGCCGGTGGCAGTCCCTTTGGCTCCACAAAGAGGTCATCGAACTCCTGCAGTAGGTTCTGTAATAGGGCCGGCCCGTCCGGTTGTACAGCATGGAGCCGCGTCGACTGAATGTCATACCATGTGGAGCCGATCCCCCTCCAGAAGACACGATGACCTGCCCTTGTGAAAGCTAGGCATAGGTCATCGAAATCCCACAAGATTGGCCCCAATGTGCGAAGGAACTTGATGCCAAGGACCATGTCGTAGCCATCCAGCGGAATAGAATAGCAGTCCACCGTGAACACTTCATCTGCAATCCTGATGGCGACGTCTGTGGTGAGGCCGCTGCATGCGACGCGGTCTTCGTTGGCGACGAGCACGCCCGCACCCGGGCATGGCTGGAAGTGGAGGCCAATGCGGCGACTGATGTCCGCGCGCACGAAGTTATGCGTAGACCCAGAATCCAGGAGAGCGACAAGCTGTGTATTCCCAACCTGAACATAGAGCTGCATCGTTGTTGCTGTTCGAATGCCGATGATGGCATTAAGCGAGATCCGCGGGGCATCGGGGTCGATCGGGGACGGTTCTGCTGCTGCTGTTGTGGATTGTACTGAATCATCGCTGTCCTCCGGCTCCTCCACAATGTAATCCGAGGCCTCCAAATAGAACAGGCGGGCACACTTGTGACCACGGACATACTGTTCATCGCAATTGTAACAGAGGCCTTGCTTGCGGCGCTCCGCCATCTCCTCCGGCGATAACTTCTTGAACGGCCGCGGAGATGGCCCTGAGGTGGCCGGTACCACGGCTGATGCTGAGGACGACGCCGTGGCGGCGGTCAAGGCACGGCGCCTAGGGCGCGCCGGTGGTGCCGGTAGAGCCAGCTGTTGTGGGCCGTTCCGGCGTTCATACGCGCGCGCTAAGCGCATCGCCTGCTGCAAGTCGCGCGGATCGTGGAGCTCGACATCCACACGGATATGATCAGGAAGGCCGCCGGTGAAGAGCTGAGCTTGCTGGTCCGGCGAGAGGCGGCCTGCATGCGCCAGTCTGGCCTGGAACGCGTCCAGATAAGCTTCGACATTCGACGAGAACGGACCAGCAAGCACAGGGAAGCAGAGTGCAGAGATATTTCTAGCATTTGCAGACTCTGGAATAATGTTTTTAGCATTTAGCATATATAGAAAGAATTTAGCACAGGGAAGCAGAGTGCAGAGATATTTCTTTAAAAGCGGGATACAAGATTGAATGAACAATTAAATCTATTAAGTTGCATGCACCGACCAGTTCCACCCAAAAGTTTAAGTTGATGGGGAGAAGTGGGCAATTCACTCATAGTTCAGCACTCCCCCTCACGTGGAGGCTCCCTTAGGGCCCCGGCGTGGAATAGGAGCGAGCAACAATTATTTTATTTTCTTACGTTAACCAGGATTTGAACTCAAGACCTCTGGCTTTGATACCAAATTGAGTTGCATGCACCAACTAGCTCAACCCAAAAGCTTAAGCTGATGGGAGAGGTGGGCATTCACTTATAGTTCAACAAGATCTCTGAATTTTTCACTCCGAAGTTTTGCCGAACTCTTATTCAGAACAAATTGTAGAAATAAAGCAAAAACAAGTTGGCAATCCAAATATTATGTTTTCTTTGCGGGTCAAAATAAAAACTGATCGAACAGACATACATTGGTTTTCAGACAAGTTTAAGAAATATTTTTTAAAAAATAACTTGTTCTGCAATCTAAATATTGAATAGAATATTGTGTTTAGTAAAATAAACAAAGTAGAAAAACTGCAGTAAACAAACCGAAAAGGTCCAAAAGTTGTGCATGCATCATTTCATCTCTTAACAAAGACCTGTATCACATCGGTCCCATTGTAAAAATACATGTTGTGGATAACAAGAGAATTTTTGAAATTGCAACTCGTGGCCCTGACAGAACAGGTTGGCTTAATTGGAGCAGCCACACTACAACCTAAAATCATAATACAACACCCCTGGCTAGACTCTAAACATTTACATATGGCCTAAAGTACTGGCTACAGAGCAAGATTATGGGAGGAAATATTGTCCCTTTCTTCACAAACCATCCAGAAATATATATTATTGTAATGTGAGTGGTGTTCTAGTCCTACAGCCAATGTAAAATCTGCTGGTAAAAGAAGCGATACATAGAATTTTTCCTGAGACATAGGAAATGTATTTCACATAGTCAAATCTCTTCGCTTCAAAGTATATAGATCTTTTTCCAAATTTTATTGTTGCTTAATTTGACCTTACTGGTAACAAACACAACAAACCCACCACCAACTATTCATAGCTTGAGGTTGTTATGACCACATGGCTCTATTATGACAGTAAAGTATGGCAAAGTTTGAAGAAGAATTAAGTCAACATTAATGGAAATAGATGTTACCAATAAAGTCCTTATAAGAAGCTCTTCTATTATTCTCTTCTTGCAAAGCATCTGTAAGTTCCAAATTAATTTTCTGCAGAGCTAATTCTTGGTTCCCAATGTTTTCCTTCACTTGCTGCAGAATTAAGTAAGACAGTAAACTGATGAGATGCTAGCTTAGATAATGATTGGTTGCACTGCAGTAAAGTGGCAATCGAGAACAAACCATCATTTCAGCTACTAGCTCAGAGGTATCCACAGCAGCAGCATGACTATTGTCAATAGAATTTTTCTTGGTCTCATCCAACTGCGCCTTTTTACGCTCCAGATTCAACTCCTCATTTTCTCTTTTTTTCTGTGGAACATGAGGGGTTGCTATCAGAAAACTTAAAAGGAAACTGCACATCAATTTGAATTTTACCTTTAAACATCTTAATTCCAAATCGATGCTTTCTCGATCAGCAACTAATTTCCTTTTGCGATCCAACCTCTCTGAGTTTATTTGCCTAATTTCAGTAGCTTCCTGCTCCATTTCAGTTATTTTTTCTTCTAGAGAAGTGCACAAACGACCAGCTCTCCAGTTCCCATTTGGAGGAATAGTGGTCTGAACAGGTCCTCTACAAAACCTGCAATCAATTGAAACAGAATCAAGAACTCAACATTTCTTTTCTAAAGGACACTTAGAACAGTAAATGACTTTTGAAGGTTGCCAATTTGTATCCTGGACTTCCAATGGCCACAATATCACCACTTCCACAGCCAAACTTAATGCAACTTATAACAACGTAAGTTAATCACGTGAACATCTGAGAGACCATTGATCTCGATAAAGGTCTTCATCGACACAGTGATGTTTATGTAAGGGGTCAAAAGAAATCATATTATAGCATTTTAGACTTCTCACTGTCACACCCGATTTTAAAGATAAAATGGGATGCAAAATCTTATGTCAGTCACACACATAATCCGATAAATTATGAGTAGTATCATTACAAATATTTATTATATCACAAATAAGACAGAGTCTTCACATAAATGTAGCGGAAGTAAGAAAAGATCTCTCGCGGAAGCTCTATATCACAGGAGCGTCAACTAGTTGACCACAAGTCTAGTAATCCTCAGGGAAATCGTCATTACCATAGCCATCTGTTACATATCCGGGATTTTTATCCAAATAATGAAAATAAACAAGCGTAAGTACATGTCGTACTCAACAAGTGTAACATGGGGTTCATGAGGCTCTAAAGGCTTGACACCGATTTAGCAGCATTCAGCTTTTAGTTGTTACAATTTTTGCTTAAGAGTAGCAACAAGTTGTTTTAAGTCCCAATGCAAAACACATGATCAATGTAAACATGAGTAATGAATATCATAAACAGATAATTTTTAGTGTTCATCTATTCCGTAAATGTTCCAAGGCCCCTCGTGACTGTGAGCACGGCTGATATACCAGTTTTACACTATGCAGATGTTGTACACTTTCACTGTGAGTCGTGATTTACCCTTTCGCCCGAGGTCACGAGCCTCTTAACCCACTACCAAGGAAGGACAGCAGGGTTCACTATGAAGCTTTTCAAAGATTCGTCTAACAAGTTAGGATCATTAGATTCACTCGGCAAACAGATATAGAGCCCCCTTCCGGATGGCACAATGACGCGCAGTCTATACTCAAGGGGACAGAGACCGCACTATAACCGATTCGTCAAACTATTCTTACGCCAATAAAGGTAACCACTAACAAGCAAGAAAAGGTCCTGCAATCTAAAATTTAAGAAAGATTTTTTTAAAATAACTTGTTCTGCAATCTAAATATTAAATAGAATATTGTGTTTAGTAAAATAAACAAAGTGGAAAAACTGCAGTAAACAAACCGAAAAGGTCCAAAAGTTGTGCATGCATCATTTCATCTCTTAACAAAGACCTGTATCACATCGGTCCCATTGTAAAAATACATGTTGTGGATAACAAGAGAATTTTTGAAATTGCAACTCGTGGCCCTGACAGAACAGGTTGGCTTAATTGGAGCAGCCACACTACAACCTAAAATCATAATACAACACCCCTGGCTAGACTCTAAACATTTACATATGGCCTAAAGTACTGGCTACAGAGCAAGATTATGGGAGGAAATATTGTCCCTTTCTTCACAAACCATCCAGAAATATATATTATTGTAATGTGAGTGGTGTTCTAGTCCTACAGCCAATGTAAAATCTGCTGGTAAAAGAAGCGATACATAGAATTTTTCCTGAGACATAGGAAATGTATTTCACATAGTCAAATCTCTTTGCTTCAAAGTGTATAGATCTTTTTCCAAATTTTATTGTTGCTTAATTTGACCTTACTGGTAACAAACACAACAAACCCACCACCAACTATTCATAGCTTGAGGTTGTTATGACCACATGGCTCTATTATGACAGTAAAGTATGACAAAGTTTGAAGAAGAATTAAGTCAACATTAATGGAAATAGATGTTACCAATAAAGTCCTTATAAGAAGCTCTTCTATTATTCTCTTCTTGCAAAGCATCTGTAAGTTCCAAATTAATTTTCTGCAGAGCTAATTCTTGGTTCCCAATGTTTTCCTTCACTTGCTGCAGAATTAAGTAAGACAGTAAACTGATGAGATGCTAGCTTAGATAATGATTGGTTGCAATGCAGTAAAGTGGCAATCGAGAACAAACCATCATTTCAGCTACTAGCTCAGAGGTATCCACAGCAGCAGCATGACTAATTTTCCCTTTTTTTCTGTGGAACATGAGGGGTTGCTATCAGAAAACTTAAAAGGAAACTGCACATCAATTTGAATTTTACCTTTAAACGTCTTAATTCCAAATCGATGCTTTCTCGATCAGCAACTAATTTCCTTTTGCGATCCAACCTCTCTGAGTTTATTTGCCTAATTTCAGTAGCTTCCTGCTCCATTTCAGTTATTTTTTCTTCTAGAGAAGTGCACAAACGACCAGCTCTCCAGTTCCCATTTGGAGGAATAGTGGTCTGAACAGGACCCCTACAAAACCTGCAATCAATTGAAACAGAATCAAGAACTCAACATTTCTTTTCTAAAGGACACTTAGAACAGTAAATGACTTTTGAAGGTTGCCAATTTGTATCCTGGACTTCCAATGTCCACAATATCACCACTTCCACAACCAAACTTAATGCAACTTATAACAACGGAAGTTAATCACGTGAACATCTGAGAGACCACTGATCTCGATAAAGGTCTTCATCGACACAGTGATGTTTATGTAAGGGCATGTACAACCCATAGACGAGGGTTCGTCTCTAAACGCCTCGAATCTATCATACAGACTGGTATAAAGACAAATCATACGATCCACATACAGGGGTCCGTCTCTAAGCTGTTTAATGCATTGCATTTAGCTAGAATCAACTATAAATAAATTTTTGTATACCACTGTATGGCTATTTGATAGAAAACGTACCAAGGATAAATAAGGCAAAGCTACACTCGGCACAGCATCACCTCTCCCATTTTGCTCCAAATTATTGCAGTAGTAATGCAGAAAAAACAGAGCAAATACATCTACGGCAATGAGTAAACAAATTAGTACCAAATAGAATTAATCGATTACCAAGTTCTCTGATCTGGAGCTTACCATGGCAGACACAGTCGTGAAGCTAGTCCAAAGCCATAGATGGATGAAGCCATGGCATCCTTGTCCTTCCGTTTCAACTGCTACGGCGACCTTTCCCTCCGGCTCCGCTTGCATCTGCGCATGGCCAGGAAAGCCACGTCCTCCAGATCCATCCACGCAGGAGGCCGCTGTCACCGAGCGCTTGCCGTCAGTAGTGGCGATGGATGCTGCTGCTGCGTCCAGGCGGCGACGGCGAGCGGACACCGGCGATAGATGCTACTGCTGCGCCCAGGCGGCGACGACGAGCGGACCGGCGCGACCGAAGGCGAAGGTTCCCGTGCGCCCAAACTAAACCGCGCGCGCGTGCACAGGATCCGCGCGCCCTCTGGTCATCGACGACGACCGTACAACGGTGCTGGAACTATTGACTCGACCTCGGTCCACGAGCTCTACCCGTCGCCTCATGAGACGACGGAGGCCGCGTCTCTTGGTATCGGCGGGGGTCTTTTTATAAAACTGGCATCATACAGACGGGGTCAAGAGACCCGTTGTACATGCCCTAAGGGGTCAAAAGAAATCATATTATAGCATTTTAAACTTCTCACTGTCAGACCCGATTTTAAGGATAAAATGGGATACAAAATCTTATGTTAGTCACACACATAAGCCGACAAATTATGAGTAGTATCATCACAAATGTTTATTACATCATGAATAAGACAGAGTCTTCACATAAATATAGCGGAAGTAAGAAAAGATCTCTCGCGGAAGCTCTATATCACAGGGACGTCAACTAGTTGACCACAAGTCTAGTAATCCTTAGGGAAATCGTTATTACCATAGCCATCTGTTACCCATCCGGGATTTTTATCCAAATAATGAAAATAAATAAGCGTAAGTACATGTCGTACTCAACAAGTGTAACATGGGGTTTATGAGGCTCAAAAGGCTTGACACCGATTTAACAGCATTCAGCTTTTAGTTGTCACAATTTTTGCTTAAGAGTAGCAACAAGTTGTTTTAATTCTCAATGCAAAAACACATGGTCAATGTAAACATGAGTAATGAATAGCATAAACAGATAATTCTTATTGTTCATCTATTCCGTAAATGTTCCAATGTCGCTCGTGACCGTGAGCACGGCTGATATATCAGTTTTACACTCTGCAGATGTTGTACACTTTCACTATGAGTCGTGATTTACCCTTTCGCCCGAGGTCGCGAGCCTCTTAACCCACTACCAAGGAAGGTCGGCATGGTTCACTATGAAGCCTTTCAAAGGTTCGTCTAACAAGTTAAGGCCATTAGATTCACTCGGTAAACAGATATAGAGCCCCCCTTTCGGATGGCGCAATGACATGCGACCTATACTCAAGAGGACAGAGGCCGCACTGTACCCGATTCGTTAAGCCATTCTTACGCCAATAAAGGTAACCACTAAGAAACTAGAAAAGATCCTCATACTGAGCTAAAGCCAGAGCCATATAGCCGTCACAGCTGTACTGTAAGTCCCGAATGTTCACTTATAGATAAGTCCTTAGGGAGAGGAATCTGAAGCATTTAGAAAGTAGCTAAACACTCCAGCCCCCTATTTCCATATTGCTAAAAAGTCATATTTTAATGTTTATTGCATATACCATTAGTCAAGTTACAAAATCATGGTTTAATTGAGCACTAGCAAAGCTACCCAATACATATCCCGCAGGTGACAAGGTATAAGTTCAATTCTAGGGAATCCCTATCAAGACGACACATGCAACATGAATTTAATGTATTAAAGTAAATAGGAAATAAGGATGATCCCATGCTATACTTGCCTTGAGCAAGGTACTCCTGCTGATCCTGCACGTCAAAGTAATACTCTTGGTCACCCACGAATTGCTCACCGTCTATACTCGATATTCACAGCAACAAGCACCCAGAAGCAATCATGCAAAGCAAACAAAATCTATAGATTAGAACAGTACACCAACAGCATAAAACAAAGATGAAAAGTTTGAAAAACGAATCTACGTCTCGCTACGAACACACAGACACGAAGATCACAAAAATCGGAGCTAAAACAAAGAAGTTATGAATTAAACAAGTTTTCCTTTAGTAAAATAATAGATTAAATCTAACCTCGAATTTTAAAAGTTAAAAACATGTCCAACAGAGATTACTTAATTACGAACTTAACGCAACTTGAACGGATCAAATCGGAGTTAAAACGGAGATTTTATGGCTAAAATAAATCTAGTGGCAAAACTGTAAATAGCTGAAAACGTATTTTAGATCTACCCGAAGAAAAATATGCTTTCAAAAGAAGAAAACGGAATCTGAGAAGGCGCTATGGACCGCGGGTTAATACTCAAGTACTTATAAGGGCTCTTTTGCAAAATTCCAAAATAAAGGGGTATCCTTCATCCTGGGCCGCCGGATTAGATTTGGATGGCCTTGATTGGATCGAGCGGATGAAAAAAACATGACCGGCCGGAACAGGGCCGGCGGCGAGGTGACAGCGGCGGCGCCATTAGAAGACTCACCGGAGCTCTTGGTCTAGAACCTACAGTGCATGATTTGACAAACGGGAAACACTGGAAGAGAGAGGGGGCGACGGCGGTCTCACCTAGGATTACCTCGGCGGCGGAGAAGGAACAAAGCGGGTGCGGGGCTCGACGAGGCGGCGCTTAGGGCTAGGTGGCTGCGAGCTCACGCGGGGTGAAAACCTTGCCGCAAGGTGGAATAGGGAGGCGGCACAAGCTCGGCGGCTATTTAAGGGGCACAGAGACTTGGGCGGCACGGCGCACAAGGCGTAGAGGAAGCGGACACGGACGGCATTGGCGACGGTGTCCGGCTGGGACACGAGACGGAGGAGGAAGGAGCAACTGACGGGTGGCCCCGGCGCGTCAGCGGGCGGAGAGAGGTCATGCGCAGCGCGGGCGTCTGACTGGGCCGCACGAAGGAGCGAGCGCGGGAGATGGCCAGCGCTGGAAATAGGCCGAAGGGATGGGCCGGCAGGAGGAGCGGGCCACGGGCAGAAGCAGGCCAACCAGGCCAGAAGGGAAGGGAGAAAGGGAAATTCGTTTTCCTTTTCCAATTTTTTTTCCAAAGCAATTTCAAAATCAATTTTGAATGTAAATTCAATTCAACTTGGAGTCTGATTTCAAATCAAGCAATACAAAAAGATATGCAGCAGCATGGATGCACACACATGATTGTAAACCTACATTTGATTTTAATTTAATAAAATTATTATTTTTCTAAATTCAAATGCCAACAAAATTGCATAATTAATCATTTTCTCCTATTTCAAAGTTATGCAAATTTTAGGGTGTTACACTCACCATACTCACAAGGGGAAAAAATCAACCAGTTGGAGTTGATCTCTCTTAAAACCTCAACTGGTGGAAAACTACCAAGTGAATGTTTAGATGGTAAATTACACAAATGGAAGGGAGTAATCTGAAAAAACAAGTTCTGTCCTATGAGTTTCCTGTGTGTTTGTAGAAGGGAATGGGCAAATGACTAGAACCCTAAGCTTAATTTTTAAAAGATCTACAGTATTCAGCATTCACACATACGTTTCTTAACAAAAACTAGATAAATGCAAGAGTGGAGAAGAGTGTGACCAAAACGTGATCCAAATAACAAAAAACAACAGTGCCAATGAGACATACATTTTGCAACCATCAGAAGCATATACTTCCTTCAGATTTCGTATCCTCTGACCAAATGCAACAGATTTTCCAGTTTTATAATCTTGAACTAGGACCTATCTCTCTGCATGGCCCTGAAATAGATGATTTTTTTTAGGAACGTGTCAAAACTATTATAAAAACTGAAGCATGTGAGCAAAAAAAAAACGGTCATTGACATCTACAAATAAACAAATTTGTGAAGTGTACATGGCGCATTACCTGAACCACTAATACATTTAGTATAGTAAGATTTTCCGAATGGATAACTGAAAGTACTGTCGGGTGTGGTGTTGAAGGAAGCAAATGATCTGGAATTTCAACCCTATTCAAAGATGGAAAAGAATTCATCTGAGACAACCAAAGATGAACAAAATAGAACACCTTAACGTCTTACCGTGGTTTTGCGAAGTCATATATAATAATTTGAAGATTGCGGTAGTTCGCTTCTTTCGCACATTCTCGTAAAACGAGTGAATCCTTATGACATGAGACAATGAAAGCATCTAATAACCTCCCTAATGCATAATCAATTGCAACGGACCAGCAGTCGCTGCCAGTTGCTGCATCAAAGCAAACAACACAAGGTAGTGAATCCTGTAGTGAACAGGTATAGTAATCAAAAGAGACAACAATCAAAGATAGTTATGGCATACCAAATGACGTCCTATTGGACCTGTTTATATCAAAATTTGGGAAAGAAGAACGCGGGAACTCAAGGCTTACAAAATTGTATCACGAAGGGATCGATCGGGTGTGAATCGAGGTCAGCTGGTTTTGATGCAATGTCGGAATCGGCTATTTTATAGATGACGTCAGCAGACAATGTCGACGGACTACGTACGGATGGCGTCGAGGGGGGAAGCATGTCGGACTCTATAAAAAGAAAAAGATTCGGGTCCAAGTTATCTTAAGTTAGGAATGTTTTCTCTTATACCAAATATTGTAATGAGTCATACTTGAGTAGGATTCATGCTTAGGTTCCGGGTATAAATATTGGACCCCAGCTATTGTAAGAAAGAATCCAGTCAATCAATACCAATTATTTTTTTCGGCTTCACGTCAACCCTTAGGAGTAGGAATAGTATAGATCTCAGCGAGTTCTTCAACAAGTAGGGCTGCATCGATCCGGCCGACCTCCGGCTTGTCTGTAAGTACCGTCAGGGCTTATACTTTTGTTTGTAAGGCTGCATCAGTCCGGCCGACCTCTTACGAGCTCTAGTATAAGTTAGTTATCGATCCTTATCTAGTTCAAGTACGGCTGCATCGGTTAAGTTCGACCCCCACTGCTCGAATTAGATTAAGGTCAAGTTATCGACCTTGGCTGTTTGATATGCCTGCATCGGCTAAATAGCCGATTGCTAGTACTTTAACGCTTATAGTGTGTCTTCATGATTCTGTTAAACGTGAATAGATTTGTTTATTTTAAAGGTTTGATCTGTTATCTTTATCATTACTGTCATCAATCCGGTCGAACCCCACTGTTAAGTATAGCAGGTTAGATTTGATTAGTGTATAGATCTGACCACATTAAACAGTCGATTGTTCACATGTTGTAATCTCTTTTCTACCTAAATCGGCTATTTTAGCTGATTCGCCTATGCTTTCACAAATATGGCACGTTTTCATGAACCTGTTGAGGTATGGTCGGTTCTGTGGATTTTCTTGTTCTAGACTATCATTATCATCATAGCTGTATCGATCCGGTCGAACCTCACTATTGACTGTAATAGATTAGATCTAGACGGTTTGTAGATCTGTCTATATTAAACAGTCGATTGTTTGCATGGCATATCCCTTTTTACCAGATTCATTAGCTCTACACCACGTATTGATCAAATCTAATTTAGCCAATGATATATCTTTGATGCATGCATGTTAATAACTTAAGGGAAAGGATCATTAAAACTGGGCGCATTGTATTCGTTACCATAAAATCAATCATGACCCACGAGCGTCACGATCCTTAACAGTCGATTTCTTCTCGTATCGGCTATTTAGTCGATTTTTTGGTCTAGCTGCTCTCGAAGCGGCACACTTAGAACTGTCTGGGCAAAACCAGCATGTTTCACCCTAAATTACTAATAAACTTTCTCTCCTTGTCAATTGCAGGTCAAATTGATTGGCACGCCCTTGGAAATTCGCATGATCGACTGGTCCTGCGTTGAAGCTAGGCAGATCTACAGATCGTTCCGGCTTGCTGCGTGTCCACCCGGCGTGGCTACCACGTTTTTGCGCTGACACGCGTTTTGGCACGCTCGGTGGGACCCCACAATTGTCATGGCAACTCACAACAACAGGGACATTCTTATGGTGCCTTGTGAAGACCTACCTGATGAGGATAAAGATATCATCAGTAAAGTTATAGAAGAATTTCAGAACAAGTGTTTGTTGTCCTACACCAAAACACGTGACAATAAAGTTGTTTAGAAATATCCACTACCAAGAGTTTTGATGCATGGGTAGTCAGATACAGATGAAGCTGATGAATAGGCGTTTCTTCGTAGATGCTGTAAACAAATCTGTTCATGATGCCATGTTGAACCAGAATACAGCTTTCTTGAACACATTCCACAATACCATGAAAGATGTGTTTCATGGATGTCCAAAAGATCAGGTTGGACTGGCTTATTACAACATTCGACATCCATCGACTCAGGGGACTAATCAAGCCGGTCCTAACCATCAAGAAGTAGCAGTAACTAGTAACGATGATGTCCAGGCAGTTCAGAGCTCATCTGAGCAAGCTTAAGGTACCACTACTGATCAAATACAAGATAATCTTGGATCATCAGTGCAGTATGTGCAACAACCGATGGGGAAAGTTCAGAATCAAATGGTTAATTTTGACACATCAGGCCAAATATCGTCGTCGGATCAAAAAATAGCGTCATTAGTTTAAAGGATTTGTAGAGATACAGATCCTAACATCTACAACCAGAGACTTCAAGTAGCAAATCAGCAAAGGACCCAACAGATAGAGATTACACAAGGATATCATTATGGAACATATTACAATACCCTTCATATGATTCCAAATCTGGAGTATCAAGGTACCCAAAATTTTAATCCGCAGATGGGTCAATAATTGCAGAGAAATCCAGATTCAAATGCTGATCAGTTGTTGCTCAAAGTGACCGAAATGATGAAGAATCAGCCCGGTTTGAAACCAAAAGGGCAGACCTTTTCGTACAAATGTCCATATCCAGAATGGTATGATTTGATCGCTATTCCTACAAATTACAGGCTCTCAGAGTTTGCTAAGTTCACTGGCCAAGATAGCACAAGTAAAATAGAATATGTTAGTCGATATCTTACACAGTTGGGCGAAGCATCCATTGAAGAGGCTCATCGAGTTCGTTTCTTCTCCTTGTCCCTGTCAGGACCAGCTTTCACCTGGTTTTTATCGTTACCAGTTAATTCCATTGCCAATTGGACTGGCCTACAGAAGAAGTTTTATACATATTTCTATACTGGGACAGGAGAAAAGAAAATCACAGATTTGATGACCATAAGGCAAAGAACTAATGAATCAGGTGCCAAGTTTCTTCAGAGGTTCCAAGAAACCAGGAATTTGTGTTTTTCATTGAATCTGACTGATGATCAGCTAGTTGCTTTGGCCATTTAAGGAATATTGCCAACGTGGAGAGAGAAGTTGCTTGGGCAAGAGTTTGACAATTTAGGTCAGTTGGCTCAACGAGTGGTAGCACTCAATAGCTAATTCTAGAATATGTGCAGAGATACCTGATTCCAGAAGAATACCACAATTGCTGAAGCTTATAATCTATATTCAGTTAATGATGGCGATGAGGACGATGAAAAAGAGATTGCTGCGGCTGAATGGAATTAGGGTAAGAAGACAGTAATGGTGCCAAATCCTTGGGGAAAAGGGGTTGAAGAGAGCTATGATTTCGACGTCATAAAATTAGACAAACTCTTTGATTTCTTACTTGAGAGAGGACATATCAAATTGCCTACCAATCATGTTATGTTACCTCCTAATCAGTTGAGGAATAAGAAGTTCTGCAAGTTTTATAACGCTACTTCTCATTCTACTGACGAGTGTAGAATTTTCCGGCAACATATACAGAGGACTATTCAGCAAGGAAAACTTAAATTTAATCCACCTCGGAAGATGAAAGTTGATGATAATCCTTTTCGAAGAGATCAGAATATGGTTGATGTTAAGTTGATCAAAGGAAAGACTAAAGTCCTAACATCAACCAGAGCAAAATAAACCAGAACCGTCAATCCAAAGATGCAAATATCGGCTGATGAATATAGAGAGATTAAAATGCGTCGTGACCAACGAAAGAGCCGATATGAGCAGGGAGAGACGTCAAGAAACGAGGCGATAAGGCAGCGTATCACATCTCGAATTTTGTTGAATAAATGGCAATGGCAGAAGGAAATGGATTATTAGTGTTGATTAGAAGAGAAAGAATAACAGCATCAACAACAGGAAGAGAGGTATGAAAGAAAGGAAGCTGAATCACATTGGAATTGTCCTTTTTCAGAAATTGTTGGAATGAAGGTTCGAAACTGCCTACTAGAAATAATTGCCCAGAATATAGTGAACAATATTGGGAGTTTAGGCAATCTCAAGCCAACCACCGATCTATCCATGCTCGAGATGAGTATCATCATAATAATATGGATCGGCGCTTAAAAATAGAAGTTTTTATGATCGGCTTGGGAAGCGAGTTGTTGATCAAAACTGAGCTGATTATGAAAAAGGCAATGAGAAAGAGTATGTTCAGCAGAAAGGGCAATGGTGTCCAGGAGATTTGACAAGAATTAGGAAAAGAATGGTACAACGCCTAAGGAATAGAGAGCTAGAACATGCTCAAGCATCTGGGAGACTCCAAGTGTGGCGTGCTAAACAAACAATCGATAGGGGTCAACCATCGGCTAATATTCAAATGGTTTTTCTGTTGCCATCAGAATTTAGAGCTCCAGCAGACTAATAAGTCTATTTAGATTTTGATGAATCGGAGTATGAAGAGATAGTTGCCAAGTTGACAGTGATACAACAAGCTATATTCGATAAGCAAGTCAAGCATCGACACTTAAAAGCTTTATATGTAAAAGGTTTCATTGATGGGAAGCCGATGAGCAAAATATTGGTGGATGGAGGTGCTTCTGTTAATCTTATGCCTTATACTACTTTTTGCAAGCTTGGCAAGGGACCAGGAGATTTGATTGAGACCGACATGATGCTTAAGGATTTTTGGGATAATGCATCCAAGACCTGGGGGGCAATAAACGTCGAATTGATAATCGGAAGTAAGACTTTGCTCACCATATTTTTCGTCATTGATGGAAAAGGTTCATACAGTTTACTCCTTGGTCATGATTTGATTCATACAAATTGTTGTGTACTATCGACTATGCATCAATGCTTGATTCAGTGACATAGAGATGATGTTGAGCTGGTTCATGCTGATGATTCTGTGAGTATAGCAACAGCTGATCCAATGTATTGGGAACTGGAAGACTTTGAATGTTTTTCTGGCAAGTTATGGGAAGGAGGTTTCATTAAAATCAATGATGAAAGCTAACAGCCGATCCAAGCAGTCGGCTCTGAGAGTTTGTTT